AGATAGCTTGGAGCTGGAAGGCAACTGCCCTCTCGATCACCTTGCTCATCAGATAGGATGAGTTGTTGACTCATGGATCTATTCTATTCATTTAAAGCTCACAGATCAGAGGTAATCTACACAAAAATGCAAAACAACAACAAAGACCAAGTGCAGAATGAAGGGGGTCCATGGACACAATCAGCAGTCTGAAGAGTGTTCTTCCACAACACAGTGGCTTCCAAATGTTTTGGATCCCAACTTCTATGATCCCTCACCACTGGACCAAGTGGGATCTGCAGTCAAAAACATCTGGAGGGTGCCAAGTTAGAGAAGGCTGCTATATTCTCTTTGCCCTTATTATACTTCCCCAACCTAATAAAACATACTTGTCTTGTCGTAGGTGTTAACATACTTGTTTTAGAATAACTTACCTCCTCTTCCAGTCCTTCTGCTTCCTCCAGTGTCACTATTCCCTCCTGTTTTACGCTTTGGGCTCACCTGTCAGAGACCAATAAAGATACTAAGTTTGTATGTTTTATAAACCCTAAGATTGCCCTATCCAGAAGAAAAGAAGAATCAAAGAGTTCCATAGTCTGTTTATTACAGGTGATGATGGGGAATGTGAGTCCCACTAAATCTTGATATACTCTAACTCCCATCAAACCTAGCCAGCAGACAACAGTGAAGGGCAATGGGAGTTCCAGTCCACCAACACCCATTATTGTTTCCCATCCATGTTCTAGATCTCACTCTTCCATTAAGGTGAATATATAATGTTTTAATTTTTCTGGTGGTGAGATATTACACAGCAGAGCTGGGAGTGAAATGAGAACATCATCAACTCTGCCTCTTGAAGTACTAACAGAGAATACTACAAAGCACCTACATTCATTTGAGTGCTATCCCAAACAAACAAACAAAGCAAGGATGTAGTCTTCATGAACTGTAACTCACAGAGTCTCTTTGCTGCCTAAGTCTGATGGAAACTGCAGATGAACAACATCCAGAGGGCCATGTTCTTTACTTGTGCCTTGAGCAAAGTTTTTTGAGGGGCTTTTGTGCATTCTTTGCTATCAGTTTGGTTGGTGGAGAAATAGTGTATGGAATATGGTATATGCATGTATATCATTTGTTATGATAGCAAACTCTGAGAACCCACCACACCCAATTGCATATACACCATGGAACATGGTCCATTAACAAGCACTGGCTGTCCATGTTTTCAGACATAAGTCTTCCCAAGCCCACTACAGAAATGTCAGGGACAGACTTATTGCATGGAAAACACTGATCTATGAGCCTTGCTGGACATGGGTGAGATTTGGTGCCTAGCAAAGTATCTGGCACAACAAAAATACCATGAGAGAGTCAGCATGGTGTAGTGGTTTGAGTGTTGACTAGAACTCTGGAGATCAGGGATCAAATACCCACTTGACCATGAAAACCCACTGGGTGACCCTGGGTAAGTCACATTCTCTCAGTCTGAATGAAAGACAAAGGCAACCCCACTCTGACCAAATCTTGCCAAGAAAACCCCATGATAGTTTCGCATTAGGGTCTAGGTAAGTCCAAAACAACTTTAAGGCATACAACAAAAACAACAACAGCAAATACCATGATGTCAGCAGATGCTGTCTGATCTTGAAAATAGGGTCAGTCCAGTTTAGTACTTGACAGGAAGACCACCATGGAATATTCATAAGAAGGCAATAGCAAACCTCCTTTATATAAATCTTGCCAAGAAAACAATAGGGTTGCTCTAAATTGGAGTTGATTTAAAGGCACATAAGAACAACAAAAGTATATGGCAAATTCAGCACTTTTTTTAAAAACTGAATGCCTCTAGCCCTTCCACCTCTGGAGACAACCTTACAAATATGTGCTTCAGGTCTGGTGAACATATCTAGAGATTACGTGGGCAGAGATTACTAGCATTGAGAGAGGCGGATCCTTATTAATTTGACCAGGTTCTTATAACTCTCCAGGAGCCATCCAGCCTTAAACTCTAAAGCCCTCTGTCTTTTCATGCTCCAAATCCCTGCCCAGAATGGTTTTTGCACGAAATGTGGCTCTTGGCTCTCTTGGCTCTCCAGGGCAGGAAAGAGCAAGACACTGAGAAGCAGATTCAGGGCCGCTTACCTGCATGTTCTTGGCGCCAGCTCCACTTCCTATACAGCAACACACAGTGAAGAGGTATATCAGTCATTGCGCACTGCACAGCCACCTGGGAGGAGAAAGTGACCACTGTAACTAAGCTAACCAACTGACTTACCCCTTCCTTATCATAGAGTTGGAAGAAACCACAAGGGCCATCCAGTCCAACCCCATTCTTAAATACTTAAAGAGGGCTATCATACTGATCTCCTTCCCCAGATCAGTATCCTACTATGCAGCCTAGGACACAGCAATCACAAACAGACAGGTATTTACATTATACAGCCAAGGAGGGTTGCTTGCTTCTGACTATTGGAAAATGAGTTCCTCAAAAGAAAGATTTAAGAGGCTTTTAGCAACACAAGAGACATCTGTATAAATACCCCAACACTTTTCCTGTGGAGAATATGGGAGTCCCATTTGGCTACCATGACCAGAAGCCCCTTCCAGAAGCTGTCCCCACATGGAGGACATATACTTTAAGTTGATCTAAGTCACTGCATTTTGGTACCTAGACATACCTTGTCTTCAGTAAAAAACAGTAAAAAAATATTATTTTCTCCCTCATACTGAGTGACTGCATCTAGCCCCCATGGGATAGCAATAGAGGATGATTTCCACATAAATGAGCCTGGGGCCAGCAGCATTTCTCTTTTTAAGGGATTAGACATTGCTTAATTAACACCATTCTCTTCTACTGTGTAGCACAATGGTTTGAGCATTGGGCTATCATTCTAGAGACTGGGGTTTGAATCCACGCTCAGTCACAGAAACCCACTGAAGGCCTAAGCAGACTGCCAGAAATAGTGCACATTAAATTGAGGCACTGCCCTGGCTCAGTGCTAGGGAATCATGGGAATTGTATTTTTTTTCTGAGACATTGAGCCTTCTCTGTCAGAGAGCTCTGGTGCCACAATAAATTACAGTTACCATGATTCCAAATCACTGAGCCAGGGCAGTGCCTCAATTTAATGTGCACTATTTCTGGCAATCTGCTTAGGCCCTGAGTGACCTTGGCCAAGTCACACACTCTCAGATTCAGAAAACCCTATGATAGGTTCACCTTAGAGTTGCCATTGATCAGAAACAACTTGAAGGCACACAACAATTACACCAATGCAGCTGCACACCTGCAAAAACACCTTTTGCATCCCAGTTCACCTTCTGCATCCCAGTAGACAATCACACTCACATTTCAGGCAAGTTGTTCTGTGCATTGATACTTTACTTCCAAAATTTAAAAGGAATCATTTTCGCTAACTTCAATCGTTTCGCTAGCATTATCCCTAGCACTATTCCCTTTCAGCAAAACCTATGCATACCAGCCTCCCATATATAATACAAAGAGTCAGCATGGTGAGTGTTGGATTACAACTCTGGAGACCAGGGTTTGATTCCTCACTCAGCCATGGAAACCACTGGATGTCACACTCTTTCAGCCTCAGGGGAAGGCAATGGAAAAACCCCTCTGAATAAAGCTTGCCAAGAAAACCCCATGATACATGTGTCTTAGGGAAGCCACATGTCAGAAACAACTTCAAGGCACACGACAATAAAACATCAGAGCACATAACTCTCTTTGGGTTCAAATCGCTGCACAGCCATGGAAATTTACTAGGTTACCTTGGGCAAGTCACACACTCTCAGCCTCAGAGGAAGGCAATGGTAAACCTCTTCTGAACAAATCTTGTCAAGAAAACCCCATGATAGGTTTACCATTGGGGGTGCTGTCAGAAACCTCCTCCTTTTCCAGGACATGTCCTACATTTCAGTCTTCTGTCCAGGAGGGATTCCAAAAGGTCCTCCATTTTCAGTCAGAAAGGACTTGAAAGCAAACAACAACAACAGATAATACAAAGCTTTAGGGCTGACCTCAAACTTAAAAGGTTTGAAATTACAGCAAAACACCGTTCTTTTGCCCTCTCCTCTCATATGGAAAAAGTTTGAAATTACAGCAAAACACTGCCCTTTGCTTTCTCTTCCTTTCCACAGGGGCTACCCCTGCAAAGCCAGGATGACCAGGTATCATAATAGCAAAGGAGGACGAGGAGCCATAAAATGTAGGGCATTCAAGAAGAAGAAGAAGAAGAAGAAAAGAAAGTATCACATCGCAACATTAAAGCTAAAACACACTAATATCAATTCGTGCTTCTTAGCCCAGCTCCAAATGGAGGACCTTTTGAAATCCCTCCTGGAGAGAAAATAAAAGCAGAAAACACTCATAGAAATGGAAATGCATGCTTCTTAGCCATGCCCAAAATGGAGGCCATTTGGGAATCCCTCCTGGACAGAGAGGGCTGAAATGGAGGGCATGCCCTGGAAAAGGAGGACACCCAGTCACCCTGTGCAAAGCCAATACCCAGCATCTCACCGCCAATAACCAACACACACATTTCCCTCCCTCCCTTGTCCTCCAGAAGCCCACCTCCTCCCCAGCTCCCTTGTTTCCCCATAGAGAAGGTGGCCCGCCTACGGGAGGCCCATTGCCCTGCCGCTAGGCCCAGGCGGCTGTTTGGCGTCGCCATGGCGACCAGGCAGCAGGTGCTCTCTCTGCTGAAGAGGCTGCTTTGGAGGCCCATCGCCCTCTCCGCCTCTCTTTCTTCCAAAGGCCCAAAGCCCTCTTGAGGCAGAGCAGAAGTGTATTTGTAATAAAGTAAATAAAGAGCGTTCTCCTCGTCCTCCTTTTCCAGGTCATGCCCTCCATCCCAACCTTCTGTCCAGGATTAATTTAAAAACGCCCTACATTTTGAGCATCCCTAAGCAGCACTCATTGCCTTTTCTATATGAAATGTTTTTAGCTTTTATTTGAGAATGCCCTCCGTTTTTCTGGAATCTCCTACATTTCACGGTGCCTTGCCTTTCTTTGTAGTTAGGACAAGGTGGTTATAAATACTATAATAATAATAATAATAATAATAATAATAATAATAATAATAATAATAATAATAATAATAATAATAATAATAATAATGTGACCAGGCCTCCTCCTTTTCTAGGACGTGCCCTACATTTCAACTTCTTGTCCAGGAGTAGTTTCCAAAGGTCCTCCATTTGTTGCATCACTAGGAAACAGGGATTTATATTTCAATAGGTGTTTTTTTTTTAAGGTTTGGTCATGTCCTCCATTTTTTTCTGCATCGCCCTACATTTTGTGGTGCCTTGTCCTCCTTTGTGGTGACCAGGAGCCCTCCTTTTCCAGGACATGCTCTCCATTTCAACCTCCTCTCCAGGAGGGATTCCGAAATGGCCTCCGTGTTGAGCATGACTAAAAAGCATT